CTTCTTTGTGGGCTGAACCTGGCCTTCATTGTTCTCTCCTGCATCTGGATCAAGCTCTTCTGCATCTGGCACCATCTCTCCACCTCTGTATTCAATATGTGGATGCCATCCCAGCTGGCCTGTTGGGAAGAGAAGAACATAGTGGAGTGAAACATAGAAGGGATGCCTTTGATCAATCTGGACAAATGCTCCATCCTTTCTTCACAAAATGATATCTCTGTCCCCCTGTGGCTGTTCCTCACTGCCAGGAAGAATTACAGCAATCTCATTTGATGTGGCAGTTGGAAGATTGTAGCGACGACGATCACAGGATTTGTCAAATCGAAGAGCAATATTACACTCTTCATTTTGCCCCATGTCATGTGTGAGCTCATATGCCTGCTGATACATTTGAACTCCTGGATGTTTACGCCACAGCATATCCTGAAGCTTCTGCATTGTTTCACGATGAAGAGTGTTGTTGGCCCTATGTCCCATACGGTAGTCGAGAGCCTCTGCAGGATCATAGATATATAGCTGAGCATATGTGGGATGTGCATTGGGGGCAGGGTGCAATGATCCTGCCTGATGAGTAAGTTTGCCATGAATTTTGAACACATATGGCCCTCCACCCTGATTGACAGAATCATCTGTTTTGCATCCCAGAGATGTCATGGCCAAAGCATTATTGTAGTGACGAATGTCTTTACGAAAATTCTTTGCAATATCATCAGTTCCAGTAAGCAATTCAAGAAGCTCTGGAGGAGGCTCATGCAATTTTGGAAGATCAATCTTTCCACTAAAGCAGCACATGCCAAACTTTATATTATTTTGGCGTGAAGAAGATAGCTTCTCATCCATCCAATGAAATGCACCACATTGAGAGCAGACCACATTCATATGCCCTAAATCATGTACCTGCCAGGTAGGACTAAAGGGCCTTCATGCTTCAGGAATTTGAGCAACTGCTGCAGGTGGTGGCATAGGAAGAGGATTTGGTGCAAATGGGACTGGGGGTGGAGGAACAGGTTGAGGTAAAGTCATTCCAGGAGCAGGAGCAGGTAGAGGGGGTTCTTCAGGAGGAGGATCTGAATCAACATGCTCTTCCTTTCCCTGGTATGCAGGTAAATTGTGAAACTGCAGAAAATATATATTA